CCAGAAGGGATCAGGATGCTGTTCTCTCCCGGGCTGCAGCTGGGTGACTGAGCCGTGAGCTCAGCGTGGCTGCTGGGGCGGGAGCGCTGGCGGGGCTGGGAACGCCCTCGCCTCTGCCTGAGGCAGGAGATGCCGGTCCAGGCTTTCCCAGCCTTGCCCGAGTCCAGAAGATTCAGCAGTTTTGCTGTGCCATGACTCATGTTGCTGTAGCTGAAGTTTCTTATAATAGCTCCCGGATGAAAAAAACCCTCTTTTTCCATATTTTTCTTCAACTAGAAGTTTAAATTATTTGTGAAAGAAGGATGTAGCACTAAAAGCTGAAGCTCAGCTCGTCAGGAAAGAAAGTGCATCTCAGGGCACTGCAGATTTTAGTAGGCATTTTTTACTACTGACTGTTATTTTTAATAACCCCTGTTGACTCAGTGGGTTTTTTTTTGTTTCTTTGCCACAAGAGCAATATCTTACTTGGGCTACAGCATGTCAGTTTTTCCTATAGAAGTTGGTATTTAGTCCTTCCTTCTCATACATACAACTAGAGTTCTGATGACATTTAACTTGGAAATTCTCACAAAGGATTTTCTTTTTCTGCCCTTAGCAGCCATGAAGCCATCTTTTTTTGTTTGTTTGTTTGTTTATTTCTCTGTTCCATACCCATGTGACTTCTTCAGGAAGAAAATAGTTCTCAAAATGGTATGTTTCTCTTGGCCTGGTATGTACATTTGGAAGACAGGGAGAGCAGGAAAGTCTTTGTAACTTAACTTAAAAATTAGGAGGATGTAATAACCTGCTATAACCTTGAGCAACTGACTGACTTCCTGTGATGACAAGCCCTGATGGGAGGCTAAGTAGGACCTGTTGTAAGAACAGACAAATAAAGCTGAGCTGATAGGGTTATGTAAGCTTTGGCACTGAATCAGGAGGCATTCTGTATCTACATACCCTCTTTCTAAAATAAATCAAAAATACCTAAACAGAACTCTTTTTAAAAACAGCTATTGATCATTAGATATAAATATGCTGAAATTTCAAACACTGTTTATATAGATCGTGTTTGTGGTCATTTTAATCTTTATAAATAGGTTTTCTGTTAGCAGCATGCACCTTCCTTGATCTAATTGCAGCTGAGCAAGCAGAAACTGAAGTTCATTGAAGTGACATATGCATAATCTGTGTGTCAGCTGGTACAGTGTGTTCTGTTTGATATTTACTTGGTGCACTACTCACATTTCAAAATTCAGTCAACAATAAACACTAGCACCCTTTGGTCAGGATCATGAAGCTGTGCAAGTAGATTTCTGACTTGGAGGTTACTGCCATGCTAGTCATGTAAAAGAATTAAAAATAACTCCTTATAATGCCAATCTAGTTTGGGGTTAAGGATGGAAATAATCACATCTAGTAAAATATACTTGAAAGGGAAAAGTGAGCTTTATACTTTTCCTTTCAAGCTTTTCAAATCTAGGTAATATGGTCATGTATTTTTGTATAAAATCAATACCTGTTAATATTTTTAAAGCTGAATTAAACATGTTTGTTTTGCAGAACCACAATGTATAATTTTGCATTTTGAATAAGTTAACATTTTTACTATATATTTTTGTCTCTACTTTTTTTTCTGAAACATAATTAGTAGGCTATATAAATTGGTCATTCAGGTTGAAAGAGGGTGGTGTCTTGTGGCAAATAGCCTTCAGTTGTTCAAAAGCAGGATTAAACTTGGCTTAGCTTCTGGATGCCTTTCAGGCTAAAATAGACTGTGTACTCACTGTATAAAAATACATATAAAGCTTCAATAACAGTTAAAATATCTGGGCTTCATAAGTGAAGACGTTCTTTAACATTTCTGGAGCTTCTGCCTTTAATTCACATGTGGTTAATTAAAACCTATGGAAAATGGCTTAATTAATTTCAGTATACTTTGACTATACCCTGACCTCATGTTGGCTACTGGTATATATTGTAAAGTCTTGTGTGCCCATCTTTGGTGGCAGATTTTTGTGAATTTATGTTTCTTAGCTGTAGACTATTCAAAAATTTACCCTCACTCATTATTCTGCTACAGTTAATCTGTCTGAGTGCTGCTATGATGTCAGATATTGTTGTAGATCATTATTCCAACTAACTGGAGTTAGGCAACTGCTAAAAAATACGTGCAGAAGCAGTCTTCATAAGCTAGCTGTAATTTTACCCTTTGAGTAGTTGCTTTTAACAGTTTGAAAAAGAAATAATTGAATATGATATTTTACTTAAAGTAGTACTAATGTTGTATACAAAACAATACTTACACAGGCAAGGAGTTTGCCTCAATGCTTGATAAAGGTGTTTCTTACAGATAAAACTAGTGAAAATGCAAGCCAGCAACGTTTCGAGGGGCTGTTGTAAGGGAAGGGCTTCATGGTGTCTGGAACATGGTTAAACCTTGCCTCTTCCTGGGAGGGACTGGCCCTGCTTCTGTCATTGCAGTAGTTAGACGAGGCTTTTAGAATGATAGTTGAACCTTTCTGCTCCAAGTGATCATGATTAAATTATGTAGTTGATATAATTTGAAAAAAAATAGTTCATTTTAAAGGATTGATCTGTTGTGATTGTGCCTTCTGTGTCAGTGCTTATTGCTCTCTTGGTACGTGCTTTTCATATTGTTTTGATTGTGAGGATTGACTCCAGAGAAACCAAATGTGGCAAATATTTTCATTATCACCATGGGAAGGGTGGTGTTAATGTGGTATCAACCACATTAACAGAAGGATTTTTGAAGTATTCATGGCGTTTTAGAAAAAACTAACATACACAAAAAAATTAAAATGTAAAAAATTTAAATAGGAAGATTTTTTTATCACTGTTTCTTAATTCATTTCTATATAAATGCAACAGAAGTAGAGGTATACTGCTATTCATACAGCAAAAGCCATATATATTTGGGTTTTTCAATTAACAGTTTGAGAAGGAGTCTTTGTAGGATGTGAGGTAGGCTTTGTTTGTGTTCTTATAGAAAGTCTTTTAGGCTTGCAGATAAGAACATTACTGTGCAGCTAACTGGTTTTGAGTAATACCAATTCTTTCATGGATGCAGTGTAATAGTGATAGATGCTTAAGGTCAATTGAGATCTTTACAGGAACAGTTCTAGAGGCCTTAAAGCAAGGTTTTATAAGGAAATAAACATGAGCAATAAACATAAAAGCTTTTAAGATTTCATTATAAAAAACCAATTGTTTTCAATGTCTATATTTATATAAAAATACATGTTTTATGACAACTTTCATATTACTAAATGTAATTACTGGTTTGGGTGTCTTTGCCCTTCAAAGTCAAAACAAGCATATAGGTTAGTCAATGCAATTTATTCAGATGCTATTTTTGAATTTGCTAAGCTAAAACAGAAAGCCACAGTATAATTTGTAGTGTTATTACATTAGTCATGAACTGAGAGAGAAGGAATTAAGGCTGGTACTCAGAGGTCTTGTGTGTATGATTACATGAAGCACCCATGCCAGGTGTCTGATGTCACGTTTTCTTCACCTGCTGATCACCTAATTATCTTTGTCATCTTGGCAGAGGATGCAGCAATCCTGCAATACATAGGCATTTTTATTTGCCCCTCCCCTTTCTGAACCCTAAAAAAAGTTTTGTAGAAGCTAAATCTGGTGTTATAGAAGTAATCATTGCATTGATGTTACAGAATGTATAATCAATGTTAATGCAAGTCTTGAGGAATCTATATTTTTGTGTGCTGGCCTACCTTATACAGACTGGAAATAGTTATATTTCAGGATTCATATAGAAAATGGAGAAGAGCACTTGTTCAGTTAAGTACATACTCTATTCTTCCTTATATGCCTTTCTTTTTCCTAATTGCTAAACTATTACTGCTTTGTCCTAAGTAGTTTATTTGGGCAGTCTCATAATTTAATTTAACACTTTAAGATGTGTATCAGCAATAGCCATGACTTTTAAGTTAATAGTATCACTGCACTTGTGTGGACAAGAGATGAATGTTTACTGTGCTTTGGCTTCGTCTGTGTTGGGATGAAGGTGGTGACTCTGTCAGTTCGTGGTTCTGGCACAGGACCTGCTGTAGCCAAGTTGCTTTGTTTCATCCTCAGCAAAGATGGGGCTTGTATGAGTGCTCTTAGCAGCCTTGTGACACAGAAGGGACATGAGGCAGAACTGATAGTTGGTACTCACCCTGGAAAAGTATAGGTAGGGGTAGGAATGTATGATAAGTGCTAAGAAGAATGACATTCCTTCAGGTAGGGAAGGGAGGGAAAGCTGGGGTGATGGCAGAGGCATAGGAATTTTTGTAGAGGGTGTAGGCAGGGTGTGGAAAAGTGGAAGCAGTATGCTGGACATGATCACTAGTGCTGGGACTCTTAAAAGCAATGCCCATCACTTTGGTAAAATGCCCCAGTGCAATATCTGATAGTTTATTTAATAAGATATTTTGCTAAAATATAAATCAAGATGTGTCTTTACAGTATAAGACAAGTAAAAAAGCTTTTTTTTTTCCGATGACGGTTTTACCAGTTGCTGCCCACCTGTAATGGGCATGGAGGTCATGGCCTTCATATGAGGATAATATATAGTTGTGTTTGAGAATTGAGCTCTAAAATCTTGCAACTGTGGTCTGGCTCAGATCAGTATTTTAAAATTAGTAACTTTGTATTTCAGGTTCAGAAGCCTTTTGGAGGGGTTTTGGGCAGGGGTTTAATAGCTTTAATAAAGTATTTCATTCTTGCAATCTTTGTTAAGAAATAGAATGTGCTTTTAAAGCTATAAACCTGTGTGTTCTCCAGGTAAATGTTTATAGGCCTCTATGACATCTTGATCTTTCTGCTTTTCTTTACAAATTTTTTATTATTTTGGTTTTAATACCTTGGTGTTTGCCTCTATGTGGCCGAGGAACTGTTATTTTAATACATAACACATTGTAGTTGAATTTAGCCAGCTTCCGGGGTTGTATATGGGCATGATCTATCCTTCTGTCTGGAAATTAAAACATACGTTCTTTGTTTAGGAAATCTAAAGGGGAGTCCTGCCTATGAAGAGATGACGTGTAATGTCCCACAGAACTCGGAAGTTTGTGCCTCTGCAGACACTGATGGTGCCCAGGAATGGGCGCAGGAGCGTGAGCGACGGGGAACTTTTGTTGGATTTCCACAGGGCTGTCCTGTTTCCGTGTTGGCTCTAGCACAAGCTGGCTTTGTGTATACTGGAGAAGGTGACAAAGTGAAGTGCTTCAGTTGCCATACAACTATTGAAGGATGGGTGCCTGGGGATTCTGCAGTTGAGAGACACAAAAAGCTTGCCCCCACCTGCAAGTTTATTACTGAATCTGCTTTTCTGGAAAGTGACATGGATCCTGTTGCCCAGAACTACCAGAATAGAACTGAAAATGGTACCAGCAATTCAGCCCTCCCATGTGCCCTGGATGACCCTGATGTGGAGGCAGATTACCTTTTGAGAACTAGACAGGTTGTGGATATGTCAGATAGCTTGTATCCTAAAAACCCTGCTATGTGCAGTGAAGAAACAAGGTTGAAGTCTTTTCACAACTGGCCCCTCAATGACCAGTTGACACCACAGGAATTAGCTAATGCTGGATTTTATTATACAGGTGTTGGTGACCAAGTGGCATGTTTTTGTTGTGGTGGAAAATTGAAGAACTGGGAACCCAGTGACAGAGCTTGGTCAGAACACAAGAGGCATTTTCCCAAATGCCTTTTTGTCCAGGGCCGGGATATAGGAAATGTTTCAAGTGAATCTATTCCTTCTGAGCTTGGCATAAGTGGTCTGAATAATGCACAGCACCCAAGGAATCCCTCTATGGCAAAATATGGAAAACGTTTACAAACATTTTTATCTTGGATATATCCTGTTGACAAGGAGCGACTTGCAGAAGCTGGGTTCTATAGCGTAGGTAAGCCAGACCTTGAAATGACTAATACCTTTTACAAAGAAATTGTACATGAGAAAGTGTCTTGTTATGGAAAAAAACTCCAATTTTTAGAAGTTTTATATGGAACAATTTGCCAGAATCTCTTTACTCAGTTATCTACTTTCTACAGTTCTTATGTAAAATTGCATACATTGTGCCATGTGTGGTTACTAGCAAAGCATAGTCTTGATCATAAATTTCCTCTTAGCAGTAAAACAACCAAGTTTTTGTTGTTTTTTTTTTTTGCCTGTTAAAACCTTTATAGTATATCTTTCACAATGACAATTATTTGAGTTAATAGTTTTTAAGAAATTAAGTGCTGTCCTCCAGACCTTAGGTGTAAGGAATGGGCCTGTGGCCTGTACAAAAGCATGTAAACAAGACAATCCAGATTGTGTGCTATTGTTAACTTAGTTAACATGAGTTTGCATTATCATACCATGTGAACACCCAAAACGAGCAAATACCACTACTCCCTAGTTTATGAAGACAGTGGTACCAGTGGAAGAGCTTTTACTCTTACACATGCAGTATTTGATTTGGATAAGACACCATCTCTATGCATTGGTTTTTCAATTAGATGGAATTGCACAGTACCATTAAAGCCCTTTGACATTCCACACTGAGGGATATTGTACAAGTACAAAGTGTTGCTCTTACTCAGTCACAAGGAAAAGGGCATTATCTGGGATAATTTCTTGCTCTCATCTTACTTGACTTCTCTCTTAGTACATCTCAAAACTTTATAGTATGATTCTGTTTAGTTTAGTTGTGGTCATAAATAAAATCTTTGCTATATTCCTGTAACCTGTAGGTTATAAATGAGCAATATTTGTACCCACTAGAACTGTTTTATTGATTTCTTCTTGGGTTCATAAAAGTACTGAAAGATCTGTATGGTAGAGTTGCACTAACTGGGCACCTGCTTATCAGACTGAGGACTCTTCAGGTGACTTCTGTAAAAACTGTTCCCTGTGGCCTGAGAAGAATTTAATTCTCTGTGGAAACACTACCCATACCTCCTCTCATTCCAATAATAATGATATATAAGCAGTTTCTGGGGCAGTCTGGGATCACAGTAGGCACAGTGCTAGGACAGAGAGGATGCGGTTCTCCTCAACTGGTTTTGCTATTGCTGGTTAGGGGCTGTTGATTTAATGGGAAATGGAGGACCACGAAGCCGTGTAAACATCTCTCATTCTTTGTGACAGACATCTTCAGGCCTTGTTTTCCATTGGATTGAACTCCATGATAACAGATTATTTTCAGCTTTTGGTTTTTTATCTGTATAATTACTTACTAAAATAAAATTCAGGAAGCTTTCTTGTCTTATTTTGTGTTTATTTAAGCTCAGTTCTCCCCTGAACATTTGTTTCAAATCATGTATGTTGTCCTCTGTTAAAATGGAGTTATTTTCAACTGAAATTGTAAATCAGTAAAATATATATTTCTTAATGTAACATTTTAGTTGAAAACTGGAATTATGCCTGCACAAAGTATGGAACTTTATTCTTGTGTGGTTTCCTCAGGTAATGGTGATCATGTTGTGTGTTTCCACTGTGGTGGAGGATTGCAAGAATGGAAGGAGAATGAAGACCCTTGGGATCAACATGCCAAATGGTTTCCTGGGTAAGGTATCCCTTAGTGCTTTCTTGGTGTGAGTCTGAGTCTAATTTACAGTACATTGCATTTTAATGACAGCATGCTAATAAAGGCTTGAGAAATCTGATTATGGCTTAACACTGTTAAGATTTATGCAAATAATTTTGTCTTATTTATAGCATTATTAAAGAGAAGATATCTGTGTCTGGATTTAAATGCTTGCTTTCTCAGTAAGAAAAATTGTGTAGTTTTGTTAGTATGCATCTGCGGGGTTTTTATTGTTTCCAAAGGCTACATTGTAATGGTTGCTTTTATAGCTTGCTATATGTAAACGTTTGTAACTTATACCAAGATACAAAATTACTAAACAGCTGCCATAGAGCGAACAAACCCGAAGAAGTGGGTTAGTGGCATGGAATATAAAACATAGTTCTCTCTAATTTGAAAGGATTAAGGATTCTAGACTGTAGTAGTAGTAGTACCAGAAGTAGTTTTTAGAAACTTGCCAGTGTTGTCTAAAATTTGTTTTGAGGTTTTGCACATCAGCCTCAGTGGCAGTGTGTCAGCCTCACAGCAGCCGTCTGTTCTGAAGGTGAAGTAACTGCTGGAGCTGGACAACTCTTGTCAAGGAGTTATGGCATTCCCTAAATCTTCTGGTAGGAAATAGCTCTGCCCAGTGGTTAAGAATGTCTGGAAAATAACTAAAGAAAGCACGGAAAGCACCTGTTTCACCAGCAACTGTTTGCTTTGATTGTGAAAGACTATAAGAACCAGCATTTTAACATAATGTTTGTTTTTCATTTGAGTGAGCCTTTACTTCTAGAATTCTGTGTCATGATCTGTCATGGCCAGCAACTCTTAAGCTTTCTTCTTCACCAAAAATGGGATAAAGATAAGTACTGCTTAAGTGTTTAAGATGTTCTTAGAAATATTACAGTGACATCACAGATGTTGGCTAAATATTTAGAGATTTTAAAAGCAGGCAATCTGTATGATGTAGGCAATTAATCAAAGCTTCCATAGTTACACAACAAATTTTTGCTGCTAATGCAGTTCTATTAAATCTAAATGTTCTTATTTTCAGGTGCAGATTTGTGAGCAAAGAAAAGGGAATAGAATTTATAAATAATGTTCACTTAAAAGATGGATGTAGGGATTCAACAGTAAGTGTCTTGCTTATTAATCATTTTGTTAAAATAGCAAAAATCAACATCGTTTTATATTGTTATCTTTTAATACCTATAATTTAATCCACTTGCTGCTACTTTCATTGGCAGAAAGTGAAAGAATTGCTGTATGTTTTGTTTCTGTCAATCAGAGTGTACCCAACTCCCTGTTCTCCTTAGCCTGGGTTAGGGATCACAGCCAGGGCACCTTGTGAACGTTGTATATTGGATACTGAACAGGTGCCATTTGTTTTATAGCCTGGGAACCTAAGGTTGATGACAAATAGTAGCAGATACATTTTCTTTTATTTTTGGTAGAACATTTTTAAACTTGTGTGTAGTCACTAAAATGTAAAAGTAATGTTTTAGAATGCTTTTGTAGACTAAAAATTATGTGCATATGGTTATTGCAGAAATAGGTTAAAATTATAAGAAAATACTGATCATTTTGTTCAGAGCAGATTAAATAGTTTTAGTCACTAAAAGAACTTGAGATCAAATAGCTATTTTTTTTATTTTGTAATTGTATGCATTTCCTTCTACTTTCTCCAGATTGTAATTTTTTTTCTTTATGTTTCATTTTTAGACAGAAGCTGCTGAAGGGACAATACTTCCTAAAGGTATCTGTTTAAAACAAGCAGCCTCCCCCCATTTTGGAATATCCATATTGGAATGTATAGTGACAGGAACGGTTAATTTTAAAAATAACCCTACTACAGGCAAATTGTTGAATTATATTCTTCCATTACTTCATTGCTTCCAAAGAACTGAAGAGCGTATTTTATTTCTCTTAGAGGAAATATAATTACAGTTTGGTAAATATTGTAAATTAAAGGTTGTGAACCATGGAAGAAGTTTGTATAGGACTGAGTCTTATAGCTACAAGTGAGTGTGCATCAAGCATTGAATTAGTAGTGCTGTGGGATGAATGTTAAAGGATACTGAACAGAGACAGCCCTTCTTCATGGGCAGGAAAAGTTGGTCTGTCCAATGGCAAGGACTGAGCAAGCTGAAGTAGTTTATTATGTCTTCCAGTATTACACATTCCTGCAATGCTTTTCACAAATACCAAGCAATAAAAAGACAAAACAGTCAAAGGGGTAGTAGGAGGGCCAATCAAGCAGCTTCATCACAGGAAATGGGAGCTATTGATAGTAAGAGTGGCTACACAAAACCTGCTTAGAACTCTCCCATACTGCTCATTTATGGGAGTGAAAACAAAAGAACCTTGGGGAAAAAAAAAGGTTTTGTGTTTAAAAATTCAGAATTGTTGCTGTTTTAACAAGGCTTATAAGTAAAAGGAAGGGGAAGGTCCAACAAACTGAATAATGGTTTCCCCAAGTAGTGTTGTGTCTTACCACAGACCTACTTGCTTGTTGGTAGGGTTGTGTTTTGGTTTTATAAATTCAAATTATTTATTGTTTTCTATCAACACATGTGAGTTTTTTTCCTTCTCTGAACTGAATTAAAATTGATGTAATGTTACTTATGCATTGTGACTTTTTGGATGAATGTCATTGAACATTCAGCTACAAAATTTGTGATGGTAGTTTTATGAGACAGGTTATTTAATTTGAAGTAGTTGATTTGAAGAGCAAATGTAGGAGGATTTCTATAAGTAAATGAGGGGAAACTGGGAAAGCTAGGATAGAAAAAAAAAGCTCAAATCTGCATTCTTTACAATTAGCAAAATTCTCAAATCAGAAATATGGTTCCTTTGATTACATATTTTTTGCAAATATGTGTCTTAGAGTACTGTAGTCAATGCTGTCAGATAATCAGATTCATCCTTCTTAAAGTGTTTTTGTTTTGTTTTTAATTTCTTGTTTTAGATGATCTCTTACAGAATCCTTGGGTACAAAGTGCCATAGCCATGGGTTTCAGTTTGTCTGAGATTAGGAACACCATGGAAAAGAGATTGCAGATGACTGGAGAAAGTCACACATCTGTTGAGGATCTGATAGCAGATTTAAGTGCTCATAAAGAAAATACAAGGGAAGAAGAACCAAATGAAATCCCAGTTGAGCAAGATGAGCTTATTCAGTTACAAAACCTCTGTGTGTACTTTCATATCAGTTTTTTAGTCTGTGAAATATTTTTTAATGTTATTTGTTTATTCTACCCTCTGATCCCAGTCTCACCTATGGTAAATTTACAGTATTGTAAATTAAAATTAATTTACAATTTGGGACATTTAGAAAAACAGGGTGAACACCCCTGAACAAACAGGGTGTTAAAATATTTGAGTGTAGCAGCATTTATAAATATCATCTCTAAAATAAGTGGTATTGGTATCTCACAGGTGTGTAACAGTGACAATCTAGTGTGCTTCTAGGAAAGGTTGTATGTGCTAACAAGAAAAGCCAAAATTGTTGTGACAATTATATTTAAAAATAAAAGCAAGAGTAACTACAAGAATATAGTTATAAGATGAACTGTAGATGTGGCAAAATGAAATAGACCCAGGGACACACTGTCATATTCAGCGTATTGAATACAGAAAAGTCACAGTGGGGGGATGTTTATTTTACAATACATAATTTTGTTTGGGGTAGATGTATTTTTGTTCTTGGCCAATAAGAGCAAGTGTGCATCTAAATGGTGTTTCTATTCAGTCATTTATGTTCCAGCTTTGCTGGGGCATGCAAGCCATTCTCAGAAAGCCTTTGTGGTGCACTCTGCAACTAAACCAAACCCAGGAGTTCTAAATCAGGAGACTTGTAATCTAAGACAAGCATATGGGTGAATTTATAGGGAGGGCAAAGACCATCTGGTTGGCATGATAAGCTGAGATCTTACCAACCCCCTCATTTTAATAAGATTTTTAATAGGACATTGTGGGGGAAGAAGAACTTGCAGTGCAGCTGGACCTTATTTTGATGGTTGGCTGTGCAGAGCTTCCCCCAAGTGGCAGGGGAAGGTGTCTGAATTTTGTATTTTCAAATGGGGCATATTGGAATAATAAAGAGCTCATGTACAATGCCAAATTGACTCTGTCTTACAGATTTTAAGCTTTTTGAAGTATGGATATTTTGAAGATGGGGGCAGGGAAGGAAGTCACATCCTCATTTTCTCATTAAACTCAGAAAAAGGAATAAAATCCAGTAACAACAAGCCTTTCTTTTACCTTCAGCTCAAATTTTGGGGAAATTTTGTCAGTGAGAGGTCTGTGAAAAGAATGGTTCCTGACTGAAAAATGCATATCCTTAAATTCTATAGGTGTTTCAAGCTGTTCAAGGTGTTACAAATACATACAGATGCACTCCCTGCTTGCATTGGCCTGGGAGATGTAATGGGATAGAAGGGGAAATAAAAAAAGAGGATTCTGTGCTATAGCTAGGATTCCTCTCTTCTACTTCTTCTTAGGGTTTTTTAAGGGTGTGACCTTTAAATCATATGAAGAAAACCTTGTCCTTGTGTGTAAAGAGAAAAAAAAATATAATGAGATTCAATGGTAGTAAGTATGTTAACTTCTTTTTATGTGTCTTTTTCCTTAGACCTCAGTACTGAAGAGAAGTTAAGACGTTTGCAGGAAGAAAAGCTCTGTAAAATCTGTATGGCTAAGGACGTGTCAGTTGTCTTCATTCCCTGTGGTCACCTAGTAGCCTGTAAGGAATGTGCTCAGTTACTTAATGAATGCCCTCTGTGTCGTTCAGATATTATGAAAATACAGGAAATTTTTATGTATTAGTGAAATACACAGCACTATGGATGCAAATGTTTCCTGTTTTTTTACTTTAAAAATGTGTAATATAATGTAAAAAATGCAGTTAATTCCAGAATGTAACCATATGGCAGGACTTAGATTTTTCTGCTGTCAAACTGTACACATTTTAACTTTACAAATTATTTTCCTTAAATGATTTTTTTGTATGTAAAAAGCAGTATGTATGAAAGGCAAATATGTATATTTTGTAACTTTAGTTCATAGACCTGATATGGGAAAGCCCAAGTAATGTAAAACTTTATTTATGTGATCATTCCTTTGCTTCACTTTGGTAGGACTCTGTATGACTGATGTCTGTACAAATAGAGTTGTACAAGGAGCCTGTCCTTATAAAAAATCTGTAAATAAATTAATAAAACTATAGTTGTATACATGTATATTGTACCTGAGATTTTAGATTTTTAAAAATATTATGTAGGATAGAAAGTATTCTCTTTTTTCTGTAACTTTGGTTGTGACATAATTCAGACAATGCACATAAACCTGCTGCTGTATCCTTATGGTTACTTCTGCTACTTTGTAGCTTTGTTTTAATTTAATTCCTGTCTTCCTATCTATTTTTCGGGTTCAGATGTATAAATTGTCTTCAGTAGACTGGTTTTAGACATCTGTTTTTCACAAAGATCCATCTTTATATAAAATGTACAATAATTTTCTTGATTAAAAGGGAACTCAAGAAATTAAGGAAATTTTATGTACCCTGTGCCCTTCATGAGGAGAGGCTCATTTTAAATTTGCCCCTTACACAAAAAGATGTTCAGTTTTACATTTTTCTTGTTTGGTTGTTTTTGTAACACAGCATCATCCTAACTGATTTATCTGCTAATACTTTGCAGTGCTTTATAACTTATATTTTCATACAAGAAAATTAAACTTTATCTCCTAGAAAACTATTTTGTAAAATTTACTAGCAATGTTAGAAATCTTTCATTTTTGTTCATGTCGGTTTGCAGTATTTAAATTTAAAAGTTAGGAGCTATTCTAATGAGAGTCACTTTAAAATATTTTAACTATTTTTAGCTGGACTGATCCCCCATTTCTTATTTTGAAAGTATCATAGCTTTGTATTTAAGTACAGCTGTTTTATGATAATTGCTTGATTATGTCACTTCCTTATTTTGTGGCAATACTGATATGTTGTGTATATATTTTTGAGTTCTACACACTAAAGTTTAGAATATATAGAACATAGTTTTTCATGTTGTTACAATTTTGAATACACAGAAATGTATTATCTACCTTTTCTATTTTTTAAAATCTGTGCTGTGTAATGCTATGAATATTTAAAATAAAGTGCAACCCAGATGTTCCTTGATCAGTGTATTTGATTCTCACATAAAAAAAAGAGAAGGCTGTTTTCTGTTGCTTTTTGTTTTGTAATTAAATTTATTAATTTAACCTGACTCTTATTAAGGATAATGACTTATTTTAATTGGAGAGAAAATAAAATCTATTGTTTGTATAGATTAAAGTTTGTTAATTATAAATTTAACAGTAGTTTTGCTATTTTTTATGGTTGAATTTGGTCTTGGGAATAGATTATGACTAGAAATTAATGAAGAATTCAGTTTTATTTTGCCTTTCTGTGCCTTTGTGAGGAGTTTAACATTTCAGATAATTCATGCATGCAGGGATTTTTTGGGACAGATATGGACTGGCAGTCCTGACAGCCTTGTTCCAGCTCCCATTCCTCCTTGCAGGGAGGGTTTTCTGTCCATATCAAGGGAAATAGAAGGGGAGTTGTAGCCTTGAGCTGGTGTATCTGGCCAGAAATAGCTTGTTTAGTTAAGGCTGCTCGGTGTGGTGCTGACTTGTTTAAGCAGATGGTTGGTTACCTGAGCCTGACCTGAGTCATGTGAGGGAGGCTGGATCAGCTGGATCCAACTCGCAGCCTGCAGAACCTGCCAGGCGAAAGAGGGGGACCAAATTTAGCTTAAACTCTTACAAAACTAAATCTCAGCAAGGAGGTGGTTTGGGGTGTAAATGTAGTATGTAAATTGTCTGAGAAAAGCTGGGAAGTAGGTCACACACAGAACCTTCTACACTGCAATGGAGAGCAAACACATTGCCCTACACTGCATGATTGCTTTCATGGTAAAGCTTGTTAACTTTTAAAAGGTATATGCTTATATTTTTAGATACGTATCCCTTACTGCAAATTTTTATTAATATTATAAAAGATACAGCTATATAGCAATTCAAATTTTAATCACTTAGGTACATTAAACGATTAAAAGCCTTTTAGTGAGATGTCAAAATAAAAATGACAAACTCTCTAGGTTTAGGGTTTTTTTAAAAAAAACTATAATCAGAGTTATATTCAGACTAAATGTGAAAAAATAATTAGCATAGTCATCAAATTCTGACAGCTTTAATTAGGAAGACTTTTTTCCAATTTACTCTGATTTTTAGTATCTTAAAGGAACAGAAGAAATTTCATGGCCTCTAATACCAGGCTGAGTGTTTAAAGAAACAGAAATGAAGGATGCAAGTAAATGGAGTGGAAGCGCAGAGGCTTTGAAAAGGAGGTTAGCAGCAGGACACAGATGCCCTGTAAGTTCATTTTTATGAGTTTCCTGGGAGCTGTGCAATATGTTCAAGTATCCATATTCAGTAACTTTCTTCTAGTGGCCTCTGTATAGTATCTTTCTTCAGTTACTTGAAGTAGCAGAACTACTTGCTACTCTGGATACATGAGAGACTTACAAGGGTTTTCAGTAAGGTCTTGGGAGTGTGTTGTTTGAAAGCACGGGAAGTGCATGGCTTATTTAGAAACAGAAGGCTAAAATAAGGAGAACCCAAAGAGTCAATGTTTTTTTACACATGGAGCTTTTTCTCACTGCCTTGAGACATGGGGTCTGAAACACACAGACTTAGCTGATTGCAGCAGCTTCTGCCTCTACAGCTTGGAGCTGTGTGGACTTTTTAAAAATTAGTTTTGAGACTTGATCTTAAACTCATAATACAATAAAAACTTCTTAAATTATTATAGCTTAGGGGTTTGTTGTTGGTTTGTGGGTGGGTTGTTTTGGTGTTTTTGTTTGGGTTTTTTGTTGTGTTTTGTTGTTTATTTTTTTTCTTAGAGTATTTAAATATTCATTTTAACATTGTCTGTTAGTTTTCACCACAGTTCTTCAGTGGGTTTTTTTGTTAGCTGTATGTGTAGTCTGAAGCTACAGGACAAATAGTTTGTTAAAGTTTTCAAAGTGTTGCTATTGATCAGCATGGGTTTTAAAGTTACCTTTCCTATTTGTTTTTATTGTAATTAACAGAAATGTAAATACAGTGGGTGGTTGGAATTTAATTAAAACCAGGTGGAGGTTTAATGCAGGCACTTGAATATGGTATTCATGTGAAACCAAGCTGAAGTGGTGTTCTCTAGGATGGAGCATTGCCAGAGCAGTGACCTTTGGTGCTGTGGTCTTCAGGAACTACTTGGAAGAGAATCTGCTTTACAAGGTGTGCAAGTTCAAGCACCTGATGTGTGAAGGTCAGCTCTTCATAGAGCCAAGGAGGAGCTGGAGGTTTTTCTGGCTTTAGCAGTGTTTTTCTGCAGCAGTGAGGGTTTGAACAGTGAGCTGTTACAGGATGTGCTTTGTTACCCTCTGCGTTGTGCATGACTGACTCCTGGCAGCAAGGCCAGGTGCCAGAGAAGGCTGGGGAGGTGCTTCCAGTGCTGCCACTGAGGCTTGTCCCTGTTGGTCTTGTGTAGAGCAGCTGGATTGGCCTGGTGGCTCGTGAAGGTCCCCTTCTCCATAGGGTCAGATGGGAAGATCCAGTCTCTACCCACATCCACCTTAATTCCTCATGGAATTGAAGTATGACTGAACACTCTCCCTCTCACCAGTTTTTTTGTGTGGTTTACCTGCATGAAATTTTACTGAGTAGTTTGAAACTTGATCAAGGAAATATTTCCTCCCACCTGCTCCTGCCATGGCTTCACACTGCTTCAGGTTGCTGAAAGTAATTTCTCATCTCAGCAAATGCCACTGTGTCATGTTGCTGTGTCATGTCACTTCAAGAGCTCTACCGATGCTGCTGTACAGCAATTAACGTGCTGTAATTAAAATGTGGCTTTCTGTGAGAAGGCAAATGGCTTGTGATGATAAACAACCTGTGCTGAAATTTAGATTATATCTTCAATTTTTCCTTAACCATGAATTCCTATTAAGCAATAGTGAGAACATTACAGTAAAACTACAAGTGTTAACTCAGAGAACATGGCTCTGTGACTGACTTCCCAAGAAACTTGCTTTTTCCTAGGACAGGAAAGAAGATGGTATGTATTAATTTATGAATTATTTGGATAAACAAAACCCCAAGAAAAATCTGGGACAAAATGGTATTAATTATATTGTGAGTATATCATATTTAAAGCTGGTCAAAAGCTATTTGGTTGCCTCTAGATAATTACTAATTTGTAGTTTTATAGCCTGGATAGCTATTGTGTTAGCTGAGATAAATTTCTTGATAAGTAATAATTGCTGGAAATGTATTGGAGAGATACTGGGATTAGTTTTGCTTTCATATTGAAAAATGGTGAAAAAATGAAAAACATATTTGCAGAGTCTCACTGTGAAAACACCTAGAAAAATCATTACAGTAAATGCTGAAAACCCGGTTTAGTATAAGTGCATATGGTCACCTTCAAATTTTGGAGAGTGAATTATTATAACCGTCAAAGATTACAAAGACAGCATTTAAATCTATTCATGTTATATCTTTTTGATTTTATATTGTTAGATCTTGCTGTAAAACGACACAATTTTTCTTATTTAACTTAAAGCAGTATATTATGAGAGTCATCACTTAAGCCAAATAGTTAATCTTGGAAATACAAGCTTTTCAAAAGTGTGTGTTCAAGCCGTAGGCATCTCTTCCTTTTAACTCTTGTGTTAGAGAGAGAAGCTTCTAGTCCAGGACTGACTTTACCTCCCGTTATGCATAACCAACCCATGTGATGTTACTGGAGTCAGTATGGGAGCTCTGTCTGCAGGGTGCAAAGTACCTCTGGCTTCGAATTGGTGTTTTGCAAAAGAGATGTACCAATAATAGCAACTGGATATCTGTATCACAATTTAGGATTTTATAACTTCTTCAACATTTGTTTTCTTAAAGGCCTAATTGGCAATTTCAAGTTCCTTTCAGGAAGACCCATGTTCCAGGTTGGAAGCTTCACTTCTGCCAGGCCCACAATTGGAACCAGAGGTACAGGGAAGTGGAGACTCCCTGGGGGAGTGAGAGTGGGACTTGCTGTGCTCGGTGTTTATGGTGAGCATCCCAGGTGTGCCCTTTGCCACGGAGGGGAAAACACTTCCTTCACAGCTGCTGGCACTTTGCAGGACTGCTACTGTCACACTCAAGAAAGTTACAGTCTAAAAGAAGTATTTTTATCTTAACGGTTTTGAACATCTGTGCAACTCCTCAACATGTCATAAACTGCTGTATTCCTTGCTACTTGTTATGCATTGTGCCATTTACAAAAACCTTTAATCTCAGCTAATGACACCATCACACTTTGCTTTGCTTCCACCACCCACTGTGTCAGAGTTGAGGCAGCAGAAAAGGCCTTGAGCCCCAGACACAACTGGCAGTAGGGGAGTGATTTGTGAGAAAGACAGTCTGAAAGAAACCTTAAAGTTGGTTGATGGTGGAAATTAAACAAAAGGAAACTTGTGTTAGGGACAGACATATATAGAGGACCTTGGGAATGTGGTAGGTCAGCCCCAGAAAACCATACAAGTTAATCTGAAAGAGTTATCTGTTCCTTGACCTTATCTGTCAGTAACACCTTTCCATTGCCTGGAGTTCCCCTTTAAGCCCCTAAGTTCCAGCCTCGGTAATTTGTGGGTAAAAGACCAAGGTACATCATCCAAATCTTGTGTGCTGTCCCATATATTTGATAGGGGATTTTCTTCAGAACTTCAACATGAAAGTATTTGACTTTGTTGTTCATAATTGTTTTGCTCTATGATCTTGGGCAGACATTGAGCTGAATAATGTTTCTGTCTCACTTCCACTCTAACTTCACCTAACCACAAGGCAGCCTCCTTTCTCCCCTTTTTAGGCTGACTTTCTCCCCCTTGCTCCATATCAGAGTCTCAGAGGGGCTGGAGCCCTGTGAGCTCTGACGAGCTGAGAGCTGCTTTGTGTTCCTGATGGGTTAGGTGTCCTACACATCCAGAGTATGATATAGTTTCACTGGGTTTTAGCTGTTTCTCAGCTAAAGCTGCTTCCCTTGCTTGGCATCAGTTGTGCTGTTTGGTCTGCTTGATTTCATTTCAGTTCTTGGCAGCTTCCTAACCAGCCCTTTTTCTGTCACACACACTGTTCTTTGCTGCCTTTAAGGGGGCCCTGCCACTTACCTGGCTTGCCCAGTTTGAAACATGTTTCTCTGGTTCCTGTGGTTCCTCCTCAGCCTTTGTCACTGATGCTGTCACAGTGCCTGACTCATAAAATGGACCTGGATTCATGGTCCCTCTGCCTGGACTTAGCTACAGAACACAAATAATCTCTTGCCTGTGTCTTCACAAACTTCCCTACATCTGGAAACTGGAGCACATTGTGTCCTAAATCCAAGAGAGGGCCTGATTTGGAACAATTGTTCCTGTACCTAGGTGAGGTGATGCCTCAAGTGAAAGGACTGGTCCTGATTGCAGCCAGGAGAAGGGCTTTTCATTATTTCCTACCAAAAACTGCTGTGGCCTTTACAACAGTTTGCTGATGGAACTTTAGAATCCAGCTAAGAGATTTTTAGCTCAAAGAATGAGACATAGAAAGAGTACCTCACTCAAACAGGGGAGCTCATGGCTTTGGGTAACAAGTGGCACAGGAGACTAAGTAAAGCTGCTGCTCATAATGCAATTACCAGGAAGGCGTCTGCAACTTGCTGGGATTCTGTTCATTTTTAGAGCTGATGATGAAGGGGAATTAAAACTTCCTTCCTTTGTAGTGGTACGGGACAAACTGATTCTGTGCTCCTTCACAGGAGGAGCAGGCAGAAACTTACTGAATCAAAGAAAATTTGGACATGAGATGGGTGTTCTGGAAAGGCTTGGTCAGAAATAGGGGCACACAAGGGAGACTTACATAAAAAAAAGGAAGAAATTATTCACAGAGCAGGGAAAGACCTAAGGAGCTGCTAATGTGCAATCTCCTGCAAATTATGGGAAAGTAACCCATTTTTTTTACTTTAATTTTGTTTCTTATGTAATAGCTCATCTTCAAAAGGATTTAGAGCAGATTTCCCTGGAGTGACTAAGCCAGATTCAAAATTCTGGGAAAAAAAATTTGACTGGGAAGACTGCTTTTTCCCTCTGTACCCACCTCAACGGACAGGTCATGGCTTATTTGATACAGGCCATGAAAGCTACCCCCCCCCCCCCCAACCCCGTTAGTATACAAATTCTGGTTTCTTTTTACAATTCTCAAAAGAAAAGTATTTAAATAAATAAATGATTGTGGGTGGTGGTGTGTTGCTGGTGGGGTTTTTTTTGTTGTTGTTTTTTTGTTATTTTGGGGTTTTTGTTGTTAGTTTTGTTGTTTTGTTTATTTGGGGTTTTTAATAATACAAATAAGGAAATGGAACTGCAGAGGGGCTTCCTATTCTGCAGGAGAAAGAAAAGGAAGAAGCATGAAAAGGAAGCAGCATGAGCATGAATCTCCTGCCTGGGAAAATGAATCAGCCATCTGGCAGCTTGAGTTTGTTCTGATCTTCTTTCATGATGAACCTCTGGCCATTAATTCAGAAACAGAATTGGTATCTGCCCTCTCCTTGCTCAGTTTCCTGTGTTACTGATCATGAAGTTCTCTTTGGATCAAGCATAATAACAGTGCCTGTAAAGTCTTTGTCAAATCCTCTCTAAATTGGGCTCAATATCAGAAATGGTGGAATTTGGAGTGCCTAAAGAGTAGTTTTTTTCAAAAAGATGACATAGTTCTGTGAAATACTTTCTCCTAGTTTTTCACAGAACTTCTTTTCTATAAATCCTTTCTAGATAGGTCAGAATTTAAAATATCTCTTTTTCTTTATAATGCTTAGATAGATAGTACTTGTTTTTCTTTTACATTTTTCATTGTATTGGAAAGGATGGTCTTTGTTTTTCCCAAAGTCTGAACTGATGGTAGAAGCCCACTCTGGAACTGGTATTTTAGAAAGTAGTGGTGTGCCTGCAGAGGAATTGCTTTTCATCATTTTCCCTGTTGTACCAACTGGAAGGCTCAGTCCCAGAAGCACGATCTCTTCATGAGGAAAATGCAGGAGCTGGGCTCTTCAGAGAGCCAGTTTGGCCCCCTTAAGGGTGAAGAATCTTCACAAGGCTCAGTTGACTTAAGAAATTCCTGTCTTCTGGTCACTGGAGCAGAGCAGAAACTTTCTGGGCCTCACCGCAGCATTCAGCACCTTCAGCTGTGCTGACTTCAGTGCTCCTGCAGCTGTACTGGAACAGCTCAGAGAAATGATCTGGGCTCAGGGGTGGGAGTCAAACCATAGAAAACAAATGTCCCTGTTCCCTTCTCCGATGAGGCAACAGCTTTGCTAAGACAGGGCTGAGCAAACAGCTGAATGAAACAACTGCGAGGGAGGAAATCGAACCGGGGAGTACAAAATCCTCTTAGGCAGGCTCTGTGAGCAGGGGTTTGTAATGTGCTGCTGCACCTGGAGTCTGGTCTCTAGAGCACTTCCATGTTTTGTCACAAGCAGAAAAAAGCAAATTCTGTCGTGTGAGTCAGGACACCCAGAAATGTTATGGTCTGGGCTTCCAAGGCCTGAGTCAGCTTTGGGAATGGGCTGGACTCTGCCACAGTATTGTCAGCGCTTGCACACTCATTCCTTCAAAACCACACCTTAAAAACTATGTCAGGTTTGCTTCATGTTAGGTAAGCACATTTACCTAAAACCTCCCAGCTGTGAGCTCAAGTGTGAACTACAGTGCTTTTGGAATAGAATGAAATACACGTGCTGTACATGTATTCCATGCACAGCTGAGTGCAGCTGCCTCGTGGTCCTGCTGGCTCCTGCAGTAAACTGCTATAATCTTGTGAAGTTTTGGGTCACAGTTTTAATATGAGCTATCCCTATTGTATCTCAAGCAGGAGACACATTACTGATAATTCCAGAATTACTGGAATTCTGTGTGCAGGCAAAATGTTGTAGTTTATTTTTATGGAAAGGCTGTCTATCTTGGCAGCTGTATGAAGCTGACTTTGTATGGGAAAGGCATAAATGGATCCAGCTCCTTTCCATCTATTCCCAAGTGTCATTTTATAACAATATAGATAATTTTAAAGGCTTACATTAAGTTTGGTGGGTTTTTTTTAAATACATAATTCTTCTACATTTTCCAGGCACTGTCAGATTAACATTAAAGATCATCAGCAGCACCTGTAGCTGTAATTGAAACTGTGAACATGATTGTATGACTGGGCATTCAGGATGCTATTTTAAAGGGTACCCTGCAAGGCAGTTTTTTCTTGTTTTTTTTTGTTTCCCCTGAACTTGACAGAAGGTGCAAAACTATTCTGAAATGCAAATTCAAGCTACAGAATTTATTTTTGTAAGCCTGTCTCATGTACCCATAGATTGTATCTAGAATTCCTAGGTGTCATCAACTTATATCACATGGGTTTTAGTGGGTTTTTTAAAATTTTATTTTAAACACTGCTAATCTGATCACAGTTTCCATTGTAAGCGTTATTTTCTCTGCGGGATGCCTCATCTTAGTTTTGAAAAGACTGTAACTGGTAGATACTCTTCTCTTAAATGCCCTGCCTTTGTTAGGCAGGTGAGCAGAGTAACTCAGCTTAGCGACTGCTTAGTTATGCTAACGCTGTCCCCAAAATTTTAAGTAGATAAACACAAGAGGGTGATTAGAGCCTAATTACCAGGACAAAAGTATTATTGTGCTGACTGATCTAAATATAATCGTACGTGGAACTATTCAGCATGAGCAACGTGCTTAGCATTACACAATAAAGTGGAAAAAAACCCAGGCGTCACAAACTGTACATCTGGTTACTTTAAGAATTCTGTACTGCTTATACGGATCGGTTTAGGTTCGTGTAATTCTCATGCGGGGAGAAAAAAGGGATCCCACAACAGCTGATGTAACTTTAGCAGACAGGGCGATGGCAGGAGCAGGAAGCGCTCCTGGAGAACGCTGCGCAGCGCAGGGGCCGCGGCGCCAGCAGAGCCCCGACACACGGCACCCGCGGCCGTGAGGGCAGCGGGGCGCTTGGGCGGGGCCCAGCTCGGCCGCGGCCGGCGATCTCGCCCCGTTACCGCAGGGCTGCTCCGGCACCGCCCGGCGCCGCGGCGGCCGGGCCGTCCCGGGGCCGGCCGGGCCCGAGCGGCCGCTCCTTTTTAGGCCGCGCCGCCGAGCCCGTCCCGGGCCCGCCCCGCGCATGCGCCGCACCTTGTTTACCCCGCTCGGCGCGGCGCCGCCGCGGCCGGCCGGCAGGTGTCGCCCCACGCCCAGGAGAGCGGGCCCCGCTGGGCGGCCGCCAGGTGGCGCCTGCGCCCTCCATTCGCCCGCGAGCCGCCGAGCAGCGAACACCCCAAACAATCCCCAGCGCCGCCGCCAAATTAAATAACCCCGACCCGCCCGCGCCCCGCGCCCCCTCCGCGCCCACAGCCCGGCACCGGCCGGGACGGGCGCGCAGCCGGCGAGCCGCGCCGGGGATACGGGAGCGGAGCTGCGCGCCGGGGCCTCCTCGCTGCCTACGCCGACACTGGGCAAGGTAAGTTAGAAAATGGCGGCGAAGCTTCTGGAAGTTTGGCGGGGGGACGCGGGATCGCGGTGCGCGGCGGCGATGAGGGGCCGGGCCGGGGCCCGCGGCGGCCGGGCCCGCACGGGGCGCCAGGCCGGCTGGCCGCGGGGACTGCGCGCAGCCAAGATGGAGGACGGCGGGGCCGAGCCGCGAAAACACTCCAGCCCCCCGCTTCCCCACCCCCGTTCCCGGCGCGCCGCGGCGGGGAGGGGGGAGGCGAGCGGAGCGCGAGTGAGAGAGCGAGAGGGCGCCGAAAGCGGCCCCCCTGCCCGTCCCGGCCCCCTTCCTCCTCCCCAGAGCCGGCCGCGGGCAGGCCGGGCCTGGCGCTCGGCGAGCTAAAATGGAGAACCGCCTTCTCCTCCTCCTCCTCCTCCCCCCTTCTGCTGAGCCGAGCAGGGGCTGCCGGCAAGATGGAGGACTCGGGCATTGTGTGCGTGGGGTGTGTGTTGGGCGAGCCGGGCCGGGCCGGGCCGCTCGGGTGGGCAGGCGAGGGGAACGGGGTCGGGGCCCGAGCCGCGCTCGGGGGGAGCGCTGGGCCGCGCAGAGAAAATGGAGGGGCGGCTGCCGGTGCCCCGTGTCGAATGCCGGGGGAGGCCGCGGGCCGGGGACTCGCACCCCTGACAGCCCTCGCCACGGCTCTCTTCCCCCTGCTCCCCGCTGCCCAGTAGCCGAGTTCTTCCTTCCAGCCCGCTCCCGGCGGGTTCCCCGCGCGGGGAAGTGCCGAGGGATCGGGGCTTGTCTCCTCAGTCTCTCTTCCCAGAGCTGGGGGAACTCTGGCCGCCCTTCCCCGTGACTGCATGGGAGGGCTGGCGGCAGCGGGGCTCCTTCGGCCCGAGTGAGGACGTAGGTAGGGGCTGACCTGCACCTTCCCCCCCGCCTCCCTTCGCTGCCCCCCGCCCAGCTCGGCGCAGGCCTTTGTGGTTCGAGTTTTCCCCTCCGAATGACTTTGGCCGAGCTCCTCGGCTGCTGTCCGCTAAGAGGAAGAGTTGTGGCAGTTTCCGTTCGGCTTCCTTTATTTTTTTTTTGTAAAGAAAGGGCGCTTGCCAACTTGTGCCGGGGCCGCCCGATGCCGGGAGCCGCGTGTTGCTGGAACCCCGCTGGGCTCTCGCCGGCCCCGGTGGGGGAGGGGGGCAGGAGGAGGAGGAGGAGGAAGGAGAATGCTTCTTACTGGGGGGTTTTGGCGCCACTTTTGTTTTAGATAGTGCTTCTCTGCCCCCTCCTCCTCGGCACGCACTGAACTGAGCTGAACCCTGCCCAGGTAGGAAACGAGAGCTTTCCTGGTGTTTCTCTTTTCTGGGCACTTATTTTCTCTACACGGATTTAAAAAAAGAAACATACATATATATATA